TTCAAAATTTGAAGCAAATTTATCAAGATAAATTCAACATAATAGGGCAAAAAAAAATGGAAAAAATTCAAATCTGGAATGTATAAATGGGTTTTTATAATTTAAAAAAACTTTCAATCATTTAAATCTCAGTATGGAATGTGAATCAAATCTATTTATTGTGAAATCAAACTAGACACAACCAAAACAAAAGTGTGTGACACCGCCTTGTCATATGTAAACGTAGAAGCACGATGTGAACGCAGTGAAAGAGTGGCAGTTTATCTCATAATTTTGTGTGATATCAAAAACTTTGTTGGTACCGGTATTGTCCAATTGTGAGAATTTTTTGCAAATATGGATGTATTTTTTTTATTTTAGAACATATTCATTGCAAAAATTTGTCCACTACCTACAGATAGACGACTAGTTAACTTGATTGAGGCCTTGCCAACACGGGATTGGATGTCAAAGTCAAACCATGCACGATTTCAGAAGCACGGCAGTTTCTAATGCGCTCAGTTTATCAATTTTCACTGCAGTGGAAGGTGGTGTAATGTGGTAGGGTAGGTTTTTCGATATATTTTCTCATGTTAAAATGAGAATATTTTACCTATACAGAATTCCACACTGGACTCCTGAGCACCTCGAAATAGGCATTCAAGGTGGTATGGATACACAACTAGATGTTACTGGAGCTGAAATTCAGTCAAGGATGGTGAGAACGACACGACACCATCCCACACAACAGCAGCCTGGTAACTAAAGATCAGCGTCTTCAGGTTGTCTTTATGTGCTCGGCCGGTAATTTTTGCCTATCTTAAATGTGAAAGAACTCCCCACCCCTAAGCCTTTAGCAAACTGTCGTCAAGGCATAAATCAATGTACAGAGATGATTTTGGTTCCGTTGGATAGGTCAGCATGTCAGCTTAAAGTGAGACAAAAACCGGAAAAGTAAAATTTGCAATTTTTGACCCAGAAATTTGGGCGGTAAAGCCGGTAAAGGGTTAAGAAAAGATAATAGGAAATAAAGATTACAGTTCTTAGAGCATGCTCTCAAAATTTCAGAGCTATGCACTCTGCAGCAATTTGCATAGTGATTTCTAGAATCTGCAAAAAAAATGAAATTTTTGAATCCAGCCACCATGAAGATGTGTGCGCATGGCAATGAGTCCCGACAGTCCTGCTGTCAATGGCCAATGACAGTCCTACAGTTCACATTTAGTTGTGCAAAGCTCCAACTCCTCCAAGCCTCCAGTTGTGTTTCACTTTCAGTGATCATGTGTGATGTGATTCCTTCCCTTCCCCCTTTTAGTTTTAATTCAAAGTTTCCAAGTTTTTGCATATAATTGACTAACCAGGACAATTTTACTGTTACAAAGACATCATTACATGAAACTGCTTATTTGCACCTACCTCCTGCCTCCTGGTCTACTTACTAGTGAAACTTGTCAAGTTTTAGTCAGCCAGGCCCCAGGCTAAGAATGTTGATCAGCGGTAATGGTAAAATCAGTGGCAATGGTATTCACTGATGCGGTATCATATACCAATCATTTAACTATCATTATATATACCGTAAAATGGGGTAACTTAGACCACTTTTTTTATTATAAATGATGCCATTTTTTACTAGCTACATTAAACTTGAATTGAAACATGCAAAATACAGGTCTATACTCTAGCTTCACTCACCATGAATTGCTGGCTCCTGCCTCTCATAGTCTTTATGTAATTTCAAAAAAAGTGGTGGTCTTTGTTACCCCAGCTCTTGGGGTAACTTAGACCGGGTGGTAAAATCAATTATATTTTTTGGTAAAATAACTCCAAATAACTCCAGGTTTTGGTGCATTGTAGTAGAACTCTTCTAGTTACATATGCAAATGACAAACTTGAGGAAAGTGTCATAGTTTGCAAATGGGGGGCGCCGCCCCATAATGAGGGAAATGTGACTACCTAATGGCAGCCCTGATGGGGTAATATTGACTGGCTTGGAAATTAAGTTAAAATTACCATATATAAGACTCTGTAGAGTCTGAAACATAAAGAAAAAACATAAATAGGCTGTCAAACATAAAATATGTTATATATGGTAATTTTATATTAACTTCCAAGCCGGTCTATGTTACCCCGTCAGGGCTGACATTAGGTGGTCTAAGTTACCCCATTTGGGGGCGGCGCCCCCCATTTGCAAACTATGACACTTTCCTAAAATTTGTCATTTGCATATGTAACTAGAAGAGTTCTACTACAATGCATCAAAACCTGGAGTTATTTAACCAAAAAATAAAAAAATTGGAGGGGGTACTCTGACAGGCTTTAAATAATAGCTTTTTTTCGTGGGTCACATTTTTAATTTTTTAACCTATTAGATATGCAAACTTTTCAAATCTTTCTATTGTGTTATGTAGCCTCAGTATTAGGCCTTTAATGCCCATTGACAAAATTTTTCTATGTCAAATAGTTTTTGAGTTGTGGGGGTTTTTGTTAAAAAAACGAAAAGTGGTCTAAGTTCCCCCGCCGGTCTAAGTTACCCCATTTTACGGTACTGATCATTTACCTATCATTAGCCTAACACATAGTGCCCTAACATTTACCTATCTTTACTGATCATTTACCCATCATTTGCCTATCATTTACCCATCACTTACATACCATTTTCCTATTACTTGCCTACCATTTTCCTATGTTTTGCCTACCATTTTCCTATCACTTCAACACTTGCCAATCATTTAGGTACCTATTGTGCGGAGTGGCTTTATGCTCTGTGTAGTTTGTGTTCCCATTCCTTAGTGCATTTCTCTCTAACCCCTCAACCTCGTGCCTCTTCTTGTTCCAGATCACAACTGTCATTGATTCTATTGATCACAGAAAGGCAATAGGCTAACCAGTTGATGCCTGATGGTAGGGTAAATGCACCATATTTCAACACAGTAGACACTTTGGCGGGTAATTCAGACACCTCTCAACTTTTACATTGCTTTTTACCATTAAGCTTTTTAACTTCCTTTAGCTACATTAAGCTTGGGTTAGTAGGTAGGCTAAGTACTTCATAGTCATACTCATAGGACACTTAGAAATGATAGTTTTTCCCAAAATAGGTTAGTGCCAAAATTTGGTTTATTTTTGAGATGTAATTTAATAAAGGAAAAAATTCGTAGCTAGCTTTTCAATTTTATATGTATACAAATTTTATATGTAGGTATACACTTATAGTTATACGTAGCTAGTTATATGGTAGTTTTCTAAAAGAATTCTCTTTTCAGCCGAATAATTTACATTGAGATCAGAAGAAAAAAAATTTTAACACACCTGCTACTCACTACCTACCTACCGTAGGCGTAACCTACGGTATGCAACGCAATCGAAAAAGCATTTTAGTTTTAGGTAGCAATCCAACCAAAGTTACCAAACCCTTCAAATCATTTCTATCTTCTACAATACATGGCATAGTACATTAGTACGGCCTTATTATAATAACCTTCACTGTCGATGAAACGCTTCAAGAGCTTTTCAGAGTTTTTTATTTTATTTAGCCAACAGACTATACTTACTGAGTTACTGTTGTGTGTACTGTTACGATTCACAGTGCACGAACCTTGACGTAGGTCGTAGAATGGCAGAATCCACTGGGCTGCCAGTGCCAGGCATGCCAAATGGCAGGTGGTGGCAAGTGAAAAGGCCACAGAAAGCCAAAACGGCCGCAAAATTTAATGCACAGCAAGCACGTCTAAAAAATATAATCTGAACCATTCGTAATACAAAATTTTAACTTCTGTTTTTTTTGTAGAATCTGACATATATATAGTTGTTAAAGTTAAACTTTATAATTAGTGGAGAAATGCATGGAAATAGTACTACTACATCTATGTTTTATGTCAGTGTTTTTCTATTCTTGTACGACAGAAGTCATACTCATTGTCAGCAATCTGCTCAGCTCATTTGACCATTTTGGAAAAGCAGTCATGACTACGGTATAAGCCCATTAATAGCGAATAACTTATCGAAGAATTTCGGATACGGTCCTCTCCACCTGGCAATATGAATCAATGAATGTATGTTGGTATACGCCACAATGCGGCCACATCCAACAATCGAAATATCAGCCAACATGTCTAGAAGAAATGAAAAATTGAGTCTCAGATAATTATTACAATCGTAAAAAAATAGCATGAATTTCTTGAAATTCTACAACGAACTAAAGGGCATTTTACCTCAAAGCCAGACAACTCAAGGAAAATGGCCAAAAATTGGCCCTTTGGTAAACCGTACGAATCTCAGAGTCAATGTGTAACGCGGAAGAGAGAGATGCTTCACAAGTTTATATTACTAGGACGGCCTTAACGGTTCATGCGCAGATTCTGAATTTCAAGTTAAAAGAATGTCGAGTATATCGAATAGGCAGCATCAACACAGCCTTTCTTAAGAGCTAAAGTCTTTTATGACCAATCAGAGATGAAAAATCGACTAAACTTGTTTGATAAATAGCTTTATAATTCTTGGCAGTCATCATTCTTAGATAAAGATAAATTTTGCGTGAACTTATTCGATGAGACTTGTCATATCAATCGAGTTGGCAGTAATAATCTCGCTAATGAACTGCATCTAATTACGTACCTAAATGGTGTAATACCTCAGCCAATTTATTAATGTTGCTTTTTGTAGAATCCTAATAATGATCTCTTTGAAATCAGAGTGAGCGCTTTAAAATTTGTATGAAGGTTTCAAAAGGTAGTTTCAAACGCACGAAGATACCGAATTGAATTAAAAATACAAAGCACATATCCAGTTGCGTGAGAAACGACTCTTTCTCTCAAGTAATAACTTAACAAAGTGATGTCGGCGCTGAAGTGTAGGCCTGATGTGGCCTGTCTCCGATTCTTGTACTTATCGCGACTTGTTCACAGATCTAAAATCGTGTCATTTGACCGGATCTCCTCAAGACTGACGATAGTAGTTTCGATTTAGAAATTTTTCTTTCTTCATTATAACTGATCTTGGCCTGAATACAAATGAAACGATACTGTCAGAGTTCCTGTGTATTTATTTGTAATTATACTTTAGTCCCAACATCAAAGAGTTTGATACAGCAGCTGAGGCGAATATGAAGACTGATCTGACATTCCTCCGAATACGTAACATAAACGTACATGGAAGTCATGAGATCCTTTAACTAAGACAATAACGTAAAATTCTTTCACATCGACATCAGGTTTGCATGAATTTTACATCAGATCAACTAAAATCCTTTAGTAGTCAGCGTCGACTCAGAATTTTGCTCTGTGGCGAAAAAATGAACACTATCTTCCAATTAAAACTATACTTATTCTAAAGATAGATGTCTGTATGGATGAAATGGGATCCGAGCATCGCAATTTTATCACCACCAGGTTAACCGAGTCTACCAACAGCGTCATGAAAATGACGGAGGAATAAACATAAAAATATATGCGTTGTAACAGTCATGATGTAGTATAACAAATTAGCTGATTGCAACTAAATCCAATAACCATGTTGCTAATGACTGAACCTTGAGGCGTTATGGGCGCAACACCCGACAGCTAAAAGGACAAAGTCGGTGAACCTGGCTGTGATAAAATTTTGAGTCGGTAATGAAAGGATGCTCTGTCGGATGGAGGGAGACTCAGGCTGCGACGGCATCGCCAGCAGCGGCGCCTGCAGCCTGTCCCCCAGCCTCCTCATCCTCATTGTTGGACGAGTGCCATGTTAGCCGTTCCTCGTAGAACTTGATCACCACTTGCGGACACCGCGTGTTGGCTTGTCGCGCCGGCACCAAGTCCGCTTCGTCCGTGCCACGCCTGCCACAAAACGAGAAAAAACATTTATTAGAGAACGCAAATATCATCCAACACAAATACAAGACCATGCTATCATTGAAAGGCTTAACGCAATAGTCTTGAAATTAAATCCTGCAAGTAGCGTTTATTACTATCGATCATCGACCAAGTCTTAAAACGATTAGAGCGTCGGTAATTCTGACTTAAAATTATGTTATATTTTATAGAACGCAGTCTGTGGGTGAATTAATTCGTAAATTGAGTTATGAAAGTTAGAGACTTAGAGTAAAGTGTTGAGAAGGCTACAGGAATTTGGGGTGGAACTGTGTAAAGCTTGTATAAGGTGCTGTTGTTCTCGAGACCGTGAGAGCGAGGGTTGTTTATAGTTTGAAACGGCGAGGGTATCAAAGGTGCTGACCCTGTGGAACTCACAACCGTCGCGGCGTCACTTCGAGGGAATAGGCTTAACTGTGGGCGACGGCTCCCTATATAAGGACCTTAAAAATTCGCGCCAAGGGTTGTTGGTTCTAAGGAGTTGACCGTCGCGCACGTACGGTCTGCAGTTAGCGGGCGTAACGGCTGCGGCCGTCAGGCCGGCGGTGTTACCGTCTTCGAACATTGACGGTTGACGGTCGCGAGAAAACCAGACTTATCGAAGCAGCCAAGAGTTCAGAAGATCTAAGTTCCGAGCTCTACACCAAGAATTATCATCGGTATATATTATCCAAGATGAAGAATTATCAATGTCATCAAGAATTATCAAAAGTACGGTCACTATTTTCATCAGAAGAAGCGGTACGGTCACAGTCATCTCGACCGCAGTACGACAACGGAGTTGGGAGTATTTTCATCGACTATGAAGACGAGCACCACTATTCCGAAGTACGGTCATCATAAACTCTACGGTTAAACCGGCCGCGAGACATCACTATAGCGCGAGAAATACGGCCATGAAGAAAGAGCAACTGTGAAAGCGGACGCGAGAATACAGCAGCGGTACGGCCGCTCAACCTACGGCGGCAAAGTGTGCGTGTACAATACGGTCGTTTACAACGGACGTACGGCTCAACGGAACTGCAATTTATCAACGTTCTGGTAAATAGAGATTTTTAACGATGTTACTGATATGTTTGGACTTTTGATTGTGTGCGGATTACATTTTTCATTTACTAGAGATTTTTGTTAACGTACGATGTGAACTTGAATTTCTCAATTTAATATGAAATGTATCAGTGTTTCGTTACACCCTCTCTTCGTACTATATTTTGCCGGAATCTTTCCAAAAAGAGAACCTATTCACGTGCCAATAAAGTGCCACTCGGCAAACCACCTGACAAAACGATAAGTAAATGAATACCGGTACGGTATCTTGAACCTGAACCTGATCGTAACGTAAAATTGGTGGAGTAACCACTCCGAGTCTCCGACTTTAAAATATATGAGACGCAAATAATCTCCTTTATATATTTTTTTCCTATTTAATCAAAAACTCACCATTTCATAAGGAACATGAGCTCTCCACTGGAATCTGTGGCTCCAATGATTTTCTCAGCTTCTAATCCTCGATCAAATCCACGCGGACGGTTGTCTTCCTGTACACAAACGGCAACATTAAGGATATATGAACAAGCTTCCCACACAGGTTACACATGCTGGCGAACAAAATATGAACAGCTGACCTCCAAACAGAACCACGTTAAGAATCAAAGAGCAAAATATGAAAATTTTTCCTTGAAATACTTTTGAGTTCATGGAGCCATTGAAACCAACTTAAATTCAAATGAAAATATGGCTAATAAGATAACAAGAGCAATGGCACCACAAGAACCCAGGTCTTCACTGAAAGTATTTGTTTAAAATTAGAAGCCTTAGGTACTTTTCCCTGGGTACTAACCTCGACAGTTTTCTTAGCCTTCTTTTTGACAGGTTCTTCAGCCACAGTTGAGGATCTTTTCTTCTTTTTGGCTTCTTCTTTCTTTTCTTCTTCCTTCTTGCGGGCAACTTCAAATGCTTCTATGAGCTCTGGGCAGTCCAAATTCGTCTCCGGTTCCCAAGTGTTGTCCTCGCTTCACAATTGATAAACGAGACATTTTTCATTAGAACCTTTTTCATTAGAGCAAATCTAGGAACAATTGAGCAGCATTACAATTACACTGATCTTAGTTTAATTCATGCACATAAAACTGCCATGTATCCAAAGAACAAAAACCGCAAATATCGATCAATACATGTACTTTTGACATACTGCGCATGACGAAATTTATCATTTATATATACATCCTAATTAAAATACAACGTGGACAATAAGGAACAGATGCTGCTCAAGCGAGAACTAATCAGGGCACAAATTATGCAGCTAATACCAATATTAAGCTGAAAGCATAGGGGCTTTGTTTAAAGGTATACGAGTTTGTGCAATGGCAAGTAGATGTAAAAAAATGTAAAATCAAGCTACTTTTGGACAATTTTCATATTTCTAATTCTATACCTAAATTGTTAAAATATGTCTGAGCTCAATAAATGAAAATTGGATCAAACTTTATGAATAAAAAATCCTCTTAAAAATCCTGATCACTTGTTGAAGTTAGTCTGCAAGAAAAGATCCCAATTTGAAGCTCCTAACAATGCTTAACAACCCATTCTCCTGTTTCCTCCATGCAGTAATCAATGCTAACTTGCAATGATACAAATTTTGACAACAAGTTTTGTGGCTTGTAGATAATTTTAATTAACTAATATCAGTCCCAAAATGTCTGCTAACATTAGTGTCCTTGAAACATCATGATTTGAAAAATGAATGTTGAGTTGTATTTATTAGTATAAATGTATACTTGGACAATGAAATTGAAAGTAGTCATTTAATAGTGAACTGTTAACGACTAAATTGGACCAGGCTGGTGGCCTACCTTCAGTAGCTTCACATTGCCCTATACCAGGATAATTTTCAAGGTCCTAACCAAATGATTCAGAATCATTGTCTAACTCTACTCTGTGAAGCTGCCCTTTATGTAAAATGTGATACTAGTATATTTCAACAAAATTCAGTCAATGAAAACAGAATTGATAAATAACAAAAATATATATATCCATGAAAATACACTAGTTATTACAATGAATACCCATGAATGGTTGCACACATTTCAGGCTATATTTTTGAAGAAATTTAGTAAGAACTATAAATAGTTATCACAAAGAAATATGACATTTTCTTAGTAGTGCATTTATATACTTTAAATAAAGACCAAAATTATAAGAATAATCTCACATTCAGCAATTAAACCAGTGGCTGCTTTTGCAATTTCAATCCTTTCGATTATCATTAGAACTTAGAAGACTTACTCTCCATAGCCCTTCCACTTGAGGTAGTACTCGACCACGCCCCCACGAATCCTCTTGTCAAGGACTTTTTCCACGCTGTATTCCTCTTCCTCCTCTTCTTCGGGGACAGCAGCAGGCGAGTCTTCGGTTTTCTTGTTACCCATTTTTAAAATCAATTTCTATCTGCAAAGTAAAAAGAAATTATGCTTGACAATACCACAAACAGACACTACTGGTTGTTCAACTTAACATAAAATTTTTGATTGGCTTCAAGTAATGTAATGTAGTAATTGGCTTGAGTAATGCCACAAAATATCCAATGTTCACCAGCAGCACAATGAAATTTTTTTCATTGACTAAGAAATGCAGTCAAAAAAGTTTAATCACTCAGTTGGTTGCACTAATGACCCTTGGCCTGTATTTCTGCAGCTTGCAAGGTACTTGGAAAAAAATTTTGTATCAGAATCACAGGGACTTTTTTCAGTGAATATCTCAATAAAACAATTTTCCTGCCAGGGCCTCTGCTTTTGCAAAAATAACAATTGCATAGCTCCCTGTGCCTACAGCTTAATTCTGATTTTTCCATATCCTAACCCCTTTGCAAAACAAAATGTTGTTAATACTAAATAGAGAAGTATATATTCAAATGGGTCAAGATGCAGTCAAATCAGTAAAAAGCATGTAGCACCTTTACAAAAAAAATTATAACAATAAAAATACAACTTAGAATGTACCATAAGGTGTGATACTACCCTCTGAAAATACCATTTTTCTTCATAGAGTAAACATGCTAGCAGACTGTGATGAGGGAGGAGGCAAGGAGCAAAGAGGGAAGAGGTAAGCAGCAAAGAGGGAAGAGGCAAGCAGCAATGAGGGAAGAGGCAAGCAGCAAAGAGGGAAGAGGCAAGCAGCAAAGAGGGAAGAGGCAAGTGGCTAATTTTTGTTGTCAATGTTAACAACAAACAAACAAACAAACAAACAAACAAACAAACAAACAAACGCGAAGCTAAGCTAAGAAAAACGTGTTAATAACAAACAAACAAACAAACAAACAAACAAACAAACAAACAAACAAACAAACAAACGCGAAGCTAAGCTAAGAAAAACGTGTTAAAAACAGCCATGCTAAGGCCTAACTGGAAAACAAGACAGAACTTCAGAAGTAACCCATTAATTGGAGAAAAAATATTGGTGAATTTGGCTAATTTTCCCAAACCCTATATTTACCAATTTCTAGTAAAAAGGAAAAAAATATAACTCAGTACTCACTGCAGTGAGTGACAGAGAGCGCATTTTCTCACAGACAGAAACATTAAGTCACAGACGGATGGATGGACGGACATGGCGAGCACAATAGTGCATTTTTCCATAAATGAGAGAATGCGCTGAAAAGAGCCTATTTTCACCTGCAATTTTCAAATGAATGTTTTCCATGCAATTCTAGGGAACTTTTGCCCAGTAATTCAAATTGACACTAAGGTGTGCTAGTGGTAAATTTCACCCATATTTAGTGCATTTTCTCATTTATGGAAAAAATGCACTATTGTGCTTGCCATGTCCGTCTGTCTGTCCGTCCGTGACCTCAAGTTTTTGTCGACAAGAAAATGCGCTCTTTGTTACTCACTGCAGTGATTACTGAGTTATATTTTTTAAGACCTTTGCCAAATTTATTCCTTAATAAATAAGAAAAATCAACAAACTTTTCCCCTAATTTCAAAAAATTGCTCATAATACAATACATACTTCCTACCAGCAATTTTCAGGAAACTCTGCCTTTGCCTGATATTCCAGATTGAATCTTGACAGTAGTTAAGTTAATGACAATTCCAAATAGCCATATGCCCTGGACCATGGTGAAATTCTATAGTTAATATAAAGGAACATAGTATTTTGAGATTTTGGACAAATCAACAGACCATTCCACAGCAGGCTAGCACCACCCATCACAAGAAAACGGTGTCCTAAGTAAACAAAGGAAAGCATTGGCCAAAAACAACAACCGTTCAACCAACAAGAAATTTGAATTTTTTCAAAATAAAAGTGGTTTTGAAGTCAGATTAGGAGCGCAGCCATGCACCACCAATTTTGTGCACCAATAAGCCCTGTATCAAATGCCTTGGATCTCTCCAGACACTACCTATCAGCCATGAACCACTCGGCTTTGTCCACCTCCGGCCTTGCATAAAACCTGCCATGCACCACTAGGCCACGGAATGACGGAATGAATAAGACTTCCGGGCATTGTTAAATTATGCAACTTTACATTCACCACATCTGAGATTAGGTTCCAAAATGTATTGTCCTTTGATAAGTGGCCGTTCAACTGAGGGCCGGTTTGATGCATCATGCACAGCCTAGATATGATTGTTCAGAAGTGTTGAAGGCTATGTTCCAGAATCTGGAAGGCAGGAATCATGATGGTCCATTACATCCAGGGCAGTGGTGGTCTTTGGCAGGCAACCTGTCAGATTTCAAGTCATTAAATGCCTAAAAAATATCAAAATTTATCTTTCCATAGATCTCAATAGTCAATGCTGTTAACATTGAAAAACTTCAAAGTATCTCTCTTATCATATATGTGTTTATGCTACTAATTTATCATAAAAATTGTATCCCCATATTCTGTTACAAGTGAAATTCATCACCTGAAATTAAAATTTTCAAGTAGAACATGAAAAATCAAGGAAATCTGTGACATTATTACATGGGTCTGGGAGCTCTGAACATTTCCAGGGTCAGGTGGACCTGACATGAAATTTTTCCAAGTAGCCTAAATTGAAAAAAATCAATGCAAGTATTTTATGTTCTCTGGACATTTCAAAACATTCTCTATCGATTTGTTTGATCAAAAAAATTAACTTTTCTGTGACCTAAATGCATGAGTCCAGGTCTGGGTTTTAGTCACTTGACTCAGAGTCCACAGGACCTGAGTCACCTGACATGAAATTCCAAGTAAATTGACAAAAATGCAATAAAAATATTTCATGTTTTCTGGACATTTAAGATCATTCTCTGTCTATTATTTGATTGAAAATTGCACTCTTCTTAGACCCTCATTTGCTGGTGCAACAAAATTCTTCTAAGTGAATATGAAAATTTTATATGTAAAATTAAAAGTTTTTTTAACATTTCTGGTGATTTGCAGCCTTTTATATTTATAAACCTGGTCCAGCACAGGGCTGGAAAAGTCCTATTTTTTTCTGACATATTGTGGCTCTAATATCATATAATTTTAGTAGGTATAAAACCTGGCAGCTGTAATGTCATGTATTTTTGTTTGATTGAAAAAAATCAAGGTTTTCACTCTGCGAACATGTTTAATAAAATTTTCAACTTCCACAATACATAGCAAAAATGTTATTCTTTGCGATTTCCATCAATAATGACATAACTACACTATTGTATTACGCTCTTGAAATAAGAATTGTAGCATTACGCATCAAGTTAGCATCAGTGCGTTAACATTGTGTGCATTTGAGGCAGTCCCTTCTAGCTTTCTATCACTGATTGGATTCCAGTGGCTGTGATGTTGCACACGTTCTAGCGATGATTGGATCCCTGTGACAGTACGTTGGACGCCTTCAAGCGTTGATTGGATTCTTGTGACTGTTACATTGGACGCGTTCAAGCGTTGATTGGATTCTTGTTACTGTGATGAAGCAAGTGCTGTTTTTTCAATGAAACAGCTGTGACATCTTGCAGAGACTCATCAGTGATGATGATGGACTGAAAGTGGAAGTGTGCTGATCGTTCCAGATTTTTGGGTCCTGCTTTCCGATTTGCTATGTTTACCAGTTAATATATTACCCCTCTGGAATTCCACACTGAATTATTATTAGATAGGAGGTAATTCATCTGGTGGAAATCTCATGGTTCTGGAAATGGTGGGAATGGTCTAGTTACCGCCTTAATGGTAGAAGTTTTCCATGCTTGCACATGCACCGTTGCACGGGAGCGGGACTTGGTAAAAAGTTTGCAGAAGCTGGCTCGTAGATGGCTTTCAGTGGCTGAGGTATGGAATTCACGACTCAAAGAAATTAAATCACAGCTCAAAGAAAAGTAAATCACAGCTAGCAAATCCATTAAACCACAGCACAAAAAATTCAGTCATGGCTTGCAAAGTGCAAAGTAGATATATTCCATGCCTGGTCCGTCAGACCGGTCCAGGTCACGGTTATAGTCACAGGTTACTTGGTCCAGGTCCGGCAGACCAGCCTGGGTCTGGGTTTCAATCGGTACTGAGCTGGAAATATGTACCTAAAAACTAATTTTTCAAAGTGTAGGGTAAACACGGTATATTCCGTCACATCAAGGACGCATCAAGAAATGAAAAACTATAAAAAAATAACCGTATGCATTACTCAAGTTCTGTTTGCTTTAGGTGACTCTCAAAACACTGTAGTACGCGTCAGCAACGATGAAACATGACAAAATGTTGCCATATTTATTAAAAAGCCTTTAGAATGGAAACCTACCAAATCCCTATATTCCGTTACTGTGTGTGGCAATATTCGACATGTGGTGAGTCGTATTGCGTCAGCGCTTCAAATTTAACTGATACGTAATGCCTTTTGGATCTCAATATTTTCCCACTAGATGGCCAAGACCTAGTGTTTTGGCAGTATTTTGATGCGCAAATGTATGACGTCACCATTTCAACCATCAATGAACGCATGGAACTAAAACAAAGCTTAATAAAAGGAAATGCTGGAGAGGTGACGGAATTACCCACGATGTCAGAATATACCGCGTTTACCCTAGTTTGTCAGTTGTCACTACCTATGATTGATAGCTAAGTACCGCCAACTGGTGCCAAGTCCACCATACCACCAAGCGCCAATGGTACTATATACTAGAATTGCACTGTGCCCTGGGCCTGGAATAAAATTCAAGCCTGGACACCCTGTAGTCTGTACTAGTGTAGGTACTCCAGTCTCCACATGACCTCATCAGTCACCAGCAATTCCAGGGCTGGTCCTCCAGCTTCAGCAATCAGGTGTGGCGTGTTACCTAGGTAGATATTTGATAAAAAAATTCAACACATTGAACGCTTCTAAAAATTTCTCTAAAACATTTTCTTAAAAAACGTATAATTTTCATAAAGTGTAGCGACTTCACTACTGTTCCCAGATATCATTGACGGTACTTAATAATGATTCAACTCATTCAAGTCAACCACCATCTTCGAATCAGCACGTTACATCCATCCCAACTTCACCTCAAAGAATGACGCTACAAGGTATAACAACGACGCACAAACGAAGCGTGAATAAACAGAATGCTTAGGCGAGTTACTTCACAGTTTGATTTAACAATAAAATACGAGTGTACTGAATATATAATTGCTCGTGATAGGCAAAATGGTGAAAAATAATGCTTACATTGAAGAAAAGACGGTTCGGTATTTCACGCTGTTAACCACTGGGCTTTCGCGCTCATGAACTTCGGTAAACGGAAAGTGTTGCCAACGGCATTGCAAGCGAACAAAGTTACCCTTAAAACTGGAGCCATAATTTATAGAATCCCCGTAACAGCATAAATGATACTAATTTGAAACGAAATCAAATTAATTATTAGTAGGAATATGAAATTATAATTTTCAAATATAATTTACTCTTTAATCAATTTAGTTGTTTCATGCATGTTTACAATTAGTATTTTTAACCCGAATTGCTCAGAAACAATTCTAGTCGAACATTTGACTGTCCATGTTGCACTGGATCCGGGTGGATAACTAGAGGTCAGCATAGCCCAAGTCCACAGTGCGATTTATAACCTTCCCGAGCGTAACGCAGCCGGGCATCTTCACGGCTTTTGACACAAAGCGCCCACCACAACAGCGCCGTTCAGTCATAGGCCGGATCGCATACAGGCCGAAGCCCAACTGGCCGGAGCGCAGCAGGCCCTACCGCAACAGCTACTCCTAACGTAACTTAACCTAACCTAACCGGCGCCGCCTGTTGCGGTAGGGCCTGTTGCGCTCCGGCCAGTTGGGCACTGGCTCTGTGAAGCAGTGGCTGTGTTGTGCAAAGCGGGATGCTGTTAGCCGGAGTTACCCACAGCTCATTGATCTGAGGCTATGTGTAGATATTGCATGCTGATGTTTGGCGTTGGGCCCGGGGCTTGATTACGAGTCAATTATGTTACCCACGGCTGCGCTCCCGAATCCGAGAGGACCGAGACGTTGCATTGGCAATCACATTAAATCTTAAATATTTAGCTCCTTCATATAGGTCAGCTCTACTAAATCTAAAGGCTCATATAACTGAGTGGACACGATTCTATGCCTCTCCTGGCATTGCAAAAATGACCAAAAAGTTATTTGAATGATCCAGGGAAAACAACATGAACCGTAGACGGTTTTTTTTTACTAGGGAGCGCAGTTGTGGGTAACAAAATTGACTCGTAAACAGGCCCTGGGCCCAACGCCAACAATCAGCATGCAATATCTACACATAGCCTCAGATCAATGAGCTGTGGGTAACTCCGGCTAACAGTAAATCCGCTTTGCACAACACAGCCACTGCTTCACAGCGCCGGAGCACAACTGGCCGGAGTGCAACAGGCCCTACCGCAACAGGCGGCGCAGGTTAGGTTAGGTTACGTTTTGAGTAGCTGTTGCGGTAGGGCCTGTTGCGCCCCGGCCATTTGTGCTCCGGCCTGTATGCGCTCCGGAAAGTGACTGAACGGCGCTGTTGTGGTGGGCTCTTTGTGTCAAATGCCGTGAAGATGCCCGGCTGTGTTTAGCTTTGCCAATACGCGAAAAAAATTTACACCACCCGGACGGAGCGCGCCGGAGCCATCCGTATCTGTCCCGTGTGTAGGCCGGTGATGTGTGAGGATATGAGCAGAAACTTTGAAGAGGTTATTCTTGTGGAATGTAAGAGAGCAAATGGCGAGCCCTTTATCCTGGGCCTTGTGTACAGAATTCCCAACTCAACACCGGAAAACAACTGGAACTGAACTCTACCCTTCGGGAGGTCAGTGAACAAAAGGATAGGGATCTTCTTATACATGGTTATTTTAATTACCCGGACATTGACTGGAAAGTGAGCAGAGCTTGCACAGGGCCAGACCACCCAGCTGCATCATTCTTGAAGACTGTCAAGGACTCATACCTCCTACAGCACCAAACAGAACCCACAAGATTTCGTCAAGGACAAAAAGCCGATCTTATTGACCTGATGCTCTCAAACAGAGAAAATATGGTGGATGACATACAGACAATCTCGGGCTTAGGGAAGAGTGACCGCGCAAAATCTGTTACTTGTCTTTAGATAAGCTACATACCCCTACTGCGTGGGGACCTCATTGAAGTCTACAAGTATACTCATGACTTATACAATGTCCCAGAATGACTACTAGAATTTGAAACAAGAACCAACACCAGGGGTCACGGCTATAAACTAAAAAAACTGCGCTGCAACTTCTCCACGCGACAAAATTTCTTCTCGCTACGAATCACCGACATGT